GACCTGGGTGGAGATGCCACTCGGAGTTGTCTACCCAAGTTCTGCTCAGGTAATCTGCCTGTACATTTGATGTCCTCGATATGTGCTCCGCCTTGATGGATAATAGGTGAGCTTCTGCCCAGATTCCCGGTTGCTCTGCTTCGGTCATGAGGGATCTGGAGTGAGTCCCTCCCTGGCAATTGACATGTGCTTTGGCATCCACATTGTCCGTTAGGATCAATACGTGTTGGCCAGATACTGTGCTTTGGAAGTGTTTGAGAGCTAAGTGGATGGCATGGAGTTCTAACCAGTTGATGTTGTGTTGAAGGTCCACTGGGAACCATTGTCCCTGCATGTGTTGGGACTGTGGATGAGCTCCCCAACCTAACAGACTCGCATCTGAAGTGACAGTTATGCAATTGGGTTCCTTGAAAGGGGACCCCTTGATAATCGCTGGGGAAACGCACCATCTGAGGGACCTGAGGAAGTTTGACTTCAGTCGAACTTTGATGTTGGAGGTTTGGTGCTTGCCCTCTGGAATGGTAGGAAGAACCATTGGAGGGGTCTGGCATGTAACAGGGCACTATGGCTATGCACGATATCAGTTTTCCCAGGAGTTGGGAAAGCACCACTAAAGGAGTCACTCGCTCTGCTGTGATCTGGGTGACTAAGGACCTGCACTCCTGGGACAAGTAAACCTCGCACAGATTGGTATCTATCACCATGCCTAAATGTAATAGGTAGGTGGATGGAACTAGCTAGCTTTTCTGGAAGTTGATGGAAAATCTGTGTTCCTGTAGAATCCTGATTGTGGAAGCCAGGTCTGCCCCAGCTTGTTGGCTAGAACTGGACTGGATGAGGATGTTGTCCAGATAGCACTGGACACTCACCAGGATTGTTCTGAGATGCGTGGCCAGTGCTGTCAGCACTTTTATGAAGATCCTGGGGGCCGGTGAGAAACTGAATGGCAGGGCTTTGTATTTATAATGATTCCCTGTGAAATAGAACCTGAAAAACCTCCAATGGGAGGGATAGATGGGAATGTGGAGGTAGGCCTTTGTTAAATCAATGGACGTCAGAAAATCGCGCCCCCCCCCCATACCTTCCAAAACTGACTGCAGAGATTGCATTTTGAATCTCTTGTGTGCGAGCGTTTAGCTTTCTGAGATCCAGGATCGCTCTCCATCCCCACCCCACCCCGAGGCCTTCGGTACTATGAACAGAATGGAGAAAAACCTGTGCCCCCTCTGGTCCTCCAGCACTAGCTCGATGGCCTGGATGTCCAACAGTGCTGGACAGCCTTGTTCATGAGCTCTTTTCGTAGAGGATTTTTGGAGGGCAATGGGTGAAGGTCCTTGGAGGAGTGAATAGAAAATCCAGGGAACCGAAATGCATGGTTTTCAGGACCCAAGAATTGGATGTGATGGTCTCCCATCGGTCTGCAAATAGGACCAGCTGGCCGCCAATGGGGGAGGGGGTCCAGCAGTCATTTGGAGCAACGAAAGGGATGACCTCCTGTTCCACGAAAGGGCTGTTTGGATTGGAACTGTTGTCTAGTTCTAACTCGGAATCCCGATCTATCTGGATGCTGATCTGATCTGTGTTTCTTAGGACCTTCTGTGAAATTGTTGGACCCAACCTTTGCCACATCTCTATTGGGCCAAGACTAAGTCGTGACTGGGGCTAGGGGACTTTCTGGCCCGACAGGAAGAGGCATGGCAAATTTCTCCCATAGGCATGCTGGAGAAATGCAGTAATTCTCATTAACTTGTTGAATTATCTATTTTCTTCAGCTAATATTTCTTCAAGTTCAAGCTTTATAAAATGAAGCAGACACTCCGAATCAAAGTTTATTTCCTCACAGAAAATTTTTTGTGACCTGGAACACCCAAATGTAACTTTTCCCAGAATCACCCTATCCTGGAGAATAGATGCTGAAACAGCATTCTCTAGTGTGCATGATTTCTCAACACTTGGTAATCCTATCTGTTTTGGTTTCTATTGACTCTAAATCTAATACATTGTAAATTGCCTCCAGCTTTGTTAAAATAAATGCTACTTATTTTTATGTATTTATTAGATTTAGAAAATTTGTTCCATTCTGCACTGATTCTGGGTACAGTTAAAACTGATATAATTTTATTTTACGCTTTAATATTCTGTAAGAGAAGAAATAAACAAGAATACAGACTGCAACAATATTTCAACATTCAAACTATTACATTTATCTAAAGAACTTATTACTGTTAACATAACTTTCCAGATCTGATAAAAATATAAGTCATCCCTCTGAGATCTGATTATGACAAAAGACTGATGGTAATCTGAACAAAGACAAAAGCCAGATGAGACATGTAACCACGTATTGGATCCTAAATAACACAAATCAAGATTACCATCCTGAGCCACACTACACTCTACACATATGGGGGATAGGTTAAACTCTCCAAAAGCTATCACACCAGAGATTCTGTTTCCAACTTAGAGACTGAATCAAGCAGCTCAGTCAGGGAGATAGCCAATATAGGAGGGAAATCAATATAATAGAAACAAACACAACTGCTCCCTAGTACCTACAGATCTCACATGTTATTTCTAGTCTCATGGGATTGGGCCATGCACGGGGAAGGTGTGGGCGATATTAAGATACTGATTTTGCATTTCAGCCCCTCAGTTTTGCATTCTACCTCCAGAACAAGACAACTCACCATGGTCAACTAACTGTGGGACTTTTGTCAACGGAACTCATGTTGAAGAAACAGTGGTGGATAACATTTATCATGTTCCGTTATCCCATGTGGAATTGCCCTGTGGTGAAATGGCCATGGCATATTGACCACTGAGTGTTGGCAGTGGCACATTCAGTAGATGCAAGGAAATTAAGTTCTCTTGAAGGTTGCCCCCATAACACCTCCCACCCAACTCATTTATACCTGTAGTACTACAAAGCCAATTGGGTTAGCTGCTGATATAATTCTAAAACCTCATATTCAGATCTCCAATACAAAATCAAACCAAGATTTTAAATCTTTAATAATCAATCACATGAGTCATCCCAGAAGCTATCCTGCAAGTAAAGCACCATAGTCAACTTAAAAGTACCCATGGAGGGATGATAGGAAAGAGAGATCATAATCCACATTTAGAAAATCAACACTCAGGCAGCTGCAAATTTCAGGTGAATTCAATACTCACAATCCTCCCACTCTGGTTCCTACTGCCCATATCTCACCTTGACCTCAAAGAGTCTCTGCTCACAAAAGAAGCAATTTCCCAGCTGCCATATCTTCTCCAAATTGGTTATGCATCCCAAAGCAGCAGGATATTTAGCTGGGATAAATGAGAGTTTTCCTCCTGACATGGAGAGAAACATACTATGTAGCCAAGACACCTACACAAAGACCTATAGTTTGCACCACTGAGACACTATTGACACATTTCCCCATTTTTCCACATTGTCACTCTGCAGTGTTCCAAATCTACCACTACAATCACAACAGACAAAAATCACAGGAAACAAAATCTTCAAAAATCCATCCAAGTTCTCCGAAAATAGAGGCATTTGGCATTTAATTTCTGCCTGTTTACCACCTTGGGAGGGAACAAAGGAAGAGACGAAGCTTGATTTTAATTATTTAATTCATATTTTCAGAAATAGCCCAATAATTATTTGCTTGTATATTCTGTTCAACAATCTTTGGCAGATTACTTGCTACATCTGATATGACTTTGATTTAAAAGTCTTCAGACTATTCTCAAGCTTGCAGTGTAGACATGGCTAAAATAACAGCTACTTATTCTTATCACTTTTCATTTTTCTTGGATTATTTTTACCATCTTGCCTGATTAAAGAATTCTTGGAAGTTTTCTAATTTCATTTTTTCTTCTCGTTAATACTCTCATCTGTGTGCTTTTGCTCTTTAACATCTTATGTACTTATTTAAAATCCTTTCCACTTCTTCTTTCTTTTGAACAATACTTTAAAGCTATCCTAAGTAATCCAATTAAAAACCAATACATACATTCACCAACTCACCTGCTCATAAATTACATTCATTGAGACATTTTCAAGAGATGCCTGGCAAGCAAAATTATTTACTGTAAGACTAAAATCTAACTTCATAGAATAAACCTCCCAAATATTTTCTTCTACCACTATAGATATTTTTTTATCAGTAGGAAGCTATCACCTTCTTATAAAACAATAGGAAAATCTTTAATATATATCAGGACATAAAAGCTCTTTCACTTTGTTTGCCATATTAACTAGAAAACATTCTTATTACAATTAAAAACATTTAATTCTATTTCCTTAATATATATTTTATACTAAGTCAAGTTTTCTTTTAAAAATAACACACTGAACTACTGTATCTCTTCTACCTATTATAAGTCAGAATCAGAGGTATTCAGCAGGTTCTGACCAGTTCTAGAGAACTGGTAGTGGAAATTTTGCATAGTTCGGAGAACTGGCAAATACCACTTCTGACTGGCCCTGCTCCCATCTATTCTCTGCCTCCCGAGTCCAGCTGATCGGCTGGGTCTTCTTTTGTTGCCCTGCACAGGAGAACGGAGCTGGAAAGCAGGTTAGTGAGGGTGGGGAGAGAATGGGATTTTGCAGTAACCTTCCCCCAGGAATGGGGAGGGAATGGAGATTTTACAGCATCCTTCCCCTGCCACGCCCACCAAGCCACACCACCAAGCCAGGCCACGCCTACCAAGTCACGCCCACAGAATCAGTAGTAAAAATTGTTGAATCCCACCACTGGTCAGAAACCACAGTTTACAATTGTCAATGGTTAAACTGAAGATTAAACCAAAATGGAAGAAGCTAATTTGTTGATTGCTGCAATTTTTCCATGCTTGCTCCATTTTTCTGCCATGCTTTTTCCTTCTTGAGAACTGTACATCAGTTACTTAAAAAAATTAACAGCACTTGAGATTAGTTTATATACAAAGACATCTTTAATTAGCACCATCCCAAAAACATGATTGTCTGCCTATCATAAGTTAATACTTACCTATGTGCAGCAAAACTCCTCACACCCTTTTGCAAGCAAAAGTTTTAGGTCCCTTTCACACTGATCAGCCCATTCAAGTGGTACCCTATAAAATACAAAAGAGAAAAAGATCTCAGTATGCATGCATCATAAAATTATATATTCAATCCATCTGCAGGAGAGCATTACTTAAGTCAGTTACAGCTCCACATGCACAATTAGCACAATATCTGCCAAAGGAATACTAAACATAGATTTGCTTTTACAGCTAAAAGATGCTACAAGCTTTTTTGGAAGCTTCCAGAATGCTAGGATGTAGGTGGGGAGAGAAATAAGTGAAACAGAAATTGGAAAGTAGTCTAATTGTAGTATACCAATAAGGGTTTCACTACTAGAAGCAAAAAACAGTTTCATAGTAATAAACCTTACTTTGAGGTTCCACTGAAAAATGATTGTCTGTGCAACAACAGCAAATATTTATCTTCTCAAATGTGAAAAAAATACTTCCTCTGATAGCTCATTAAAATTGACCAATTCATCCATTAGCATTCCTTGAAGTATATTCAGGAACCCAACATTGCTCTTTTTTTATTGCTGATTCTAAAATATGCTGACTCTGTAAACCACTTAGTAAGGGCTATAAAGCACTGTAAAGCAGTATATAAGTCTAAGTGCTATTGCTATTGCTATTCCAGCCATGCCAAATGGCTGAAAGGAGATGCAGCTTTAGGTTTTCCATTATGTTTAATATCAGCTCAGAATTATTTAGGACCAATAATTAAAGGACTCCAGAAAAGAAAAACTGAAATTTAATCAACTCATATATTTTATCTCCTATACTACTACCCATCTTGCTGTATTCAAAGAAAAGATTAAAGGAACATTAATACACAACATCAAATTTGAACTTAAATCAGCAGATAACTCTTTTATTCAACACTTGACTATTTAACGATTTGTATGTCACAGATTTCATTCAGATTCATTATATTTACAATTAAAGCATCATTTTTTTAAAAAAATAACTTGAATAATACCTACAAAACCTACATTAAAAATAGTAAACAACAATAATACAATTGCCACATAGCAATAGACTTCCATTTCTACCAACAAATTAAGATATTTAATACAGTTTACAATTAAGATATTTAACAGTTGCACAGGGAATCACAGCTTTCAATCGCCATAAGCAGTCAAGAAGGGAACTAGACTAGAAGGGGAACACTAACACATAAGTTGTGACACAAATCATCAAATAGCATGAACAATAAATACTACTTCCATCCTATGTACATTTTATCATTTGTCCATTCCATACTCCCTCTGTGGTTACCTTTGTACACCTCTCTGAAATGAATTCCTACCAAAATAAAATATAATTTGTTACAATTTGGGGCTCAGAGTGAATAAGATTCTCTTCACCACACTATTTTAGGGTAAATAACATTATTTTAGTCATATTTTATTTACAATATGTACTTATGTATAAATATTCTGGCTTTTCTCATTTGTTCAGAGTTCAAAACACAATTTCCTTTGGAAATCTTCACAAGAATTATGGCAGAACTTCATAAAGTATTATATTAATTTCAGCAAAAGCAACTGTTACATAGATTTGTAGTCCTGAATCTGCATCAATAGGACTTTAATCAATTACTTCCTATATTTATTGTCTCTGAAGAAAATGAGATCACTGATGATCTTATCTAGATTTATTCAATTCTTCTCCATATGATTCAAGTTCAAAGATATTATATTTTCAGGGCTAAAGCATATATTTTTGATGCTGATTAAAATATTTAAGAAACATCAAAACTATTTTTCTACAGACTGCCTAGTACAAGACTGAAATTGCAGTGACCATATACTTTATACACGACACTTGGAAACTATCTATTTTGTTATTTGATAAAATGCTGGTTTAGGAGTTGAAAACAACCCTTCCTTTAGAAGGAGATGGTGTAGTACCAATACATGTTTCATGCTTCCATATTTTTCAGGGTTCACTCTAAAAGTTGTTAAAATGCATGAGCGTTAACTTTTACATATTGCATAATAAATGTACATTAAAATTATATTTAAAAACCACATTAAAATGTTCTTTATTTGTGTCTAACCACCTTCTCCAAAAATATTCTAATATTTTATTATTTTAAACCAAAATAAAATTCTCAGAAATCATGATTAAAGAGCTACATTTCCAACTATGGTTCCCAAGTCAGCTATAAAGAATAATTGAAACAAATATATCTAATATCTTCCTTGTAATTAATTAAGAGGAAAGTATGGGAAGAGGAAGTTCATCCATGCTCTGCTAAAACCATGTTTAAAATTAACATCTCAAATCTCTTATTATGCCTGATATAATATTTTTGGATCAGAACAAGAAACTCAATCCTCTCCTGAGTTTACTGCATCTTTTTTAGCACAAGAGATATATTTACTATTAATATGGCTTGTTCTGTATTCTGTACAGTGGTAGATTTTGTCTTCTGTACAGATGCAGATAGATAAACTCAACAAAACGTACATACAAAGTTTTTATTTTTGGTTCATCAGGTATCCTCATAATTCACATTTGTGATGAAGTTCTTCTTTAATGACCAATCCTTTGCATATCTGTCTTGTAGGTAAAAAGATTATTATCTCCTATCCCTTCTCTCTCATCTTGTAGCGATAGAAGTAGAACAGTTACCATGAGTCCATGAGTTCAGCCAAGAGTGGGGAAACCTCCCCCAACCCATCGAAGGTCAATTTAGTGACCAATCAGGATTACAGATGTGGTCACCTGGCATGGACTACATTTCCCACGATACCTTAACTACATTTACCATGATGCATTTCCTTAAGGGGACAGCTCACAATTGCTACCTAACTATCCAAATTCCATACGCTGGCTCGACAGCACATGGCTATCATCAATAATATGGTTAAAACAGATACCTTCTATTGATTAATTTGAAGGAAGTCTAATGTTTTTTGAAGGGAAAACATTTCAGCACCTTCTTCAGCCAAATAAATAGCCCATGACTTTTTGAAACTAAGGTTTTATTTATGAAAGAACAAGATTCCCTTGCTTTATGAAATCATAGCTGAATTTCACTGTTATGAATACAAATGATGCAGGCCAAATTAATGGAAGTTAAGAGCACTGCCAAAGAGACATGTTATCACAATTCATCCTGAATAGTGGAACCAAAGCTGCATGGAATCTTTGGCCAATTCTCAATTCTTATAGTTTGGTTGAATGATCACAAAAATAACGTATCCTTAGTGAATTAATTCTGTTATCTGAAAAATAATAATCTTAATAAACTTTAATTCAAAATATTATATGATATAATACTTATATCATATAAGTAAATATGAGTTTTCTAGGATGCTATAACAGAAGATGAAAGCAATTATGTAGGAAATATTGTAATGAAAATGCAGGCCATTTTAAATATGTCTTCATATTGCTTTATTCAGTTATTCTATTTAAGTGGTTTATCAAATGTAATGTGGCTATGTGAACAGGATAAAAAACAATAACACAAATGATCACATGCATGTATCTGTGATTACAAGAAAGCAGCACATGGTACTAAAATTAAATGCAAGTGAAAGAATAATGGATTTTAGAAAACATGATTTTATCCTTGAAATCAATGATTTTAGACTACCCAATTTCCCCTCCCCCTTTGAAATCAATGATTTTAGACTATCCAATTTACAAATGACCTGTGAGATGTTATTATGCTTTAATTTACCAGTTTGAGACACTATTTAATTATAACTCTGGGTTAAAAAAATATCTGTTTAAAATGAAGTGCAGATCATGACCTGCAGAGATAATGTATTTGTTGTACTCCCCCCCACCAAGACATGTGTTAGTCTAACACAAATAAGACAACAAGAGAATCCCTTTGAAAAATATAAAGATGCAAAGAACCACTAGTAGCTAACCAACAGTCTGAAATCAATAACAACTTCATAATTTGACAAAGGAGATTAAATGATGCTGTGTAAATTCTATCAACATTCCTCTAGCAAATTCAATGAGGTGATAAAAGCAGAATATTATGCTGATAGATGCCGAATGTTTTACATTAAAATATTGACACACCAAATATAGACTTCAATTCTCATTATAATAATATATTTTAACAGATGACTAAAATCAGTTCTTAATTGGACTGATAAATGAAAATGCTAAGATTATGCATCAAGCTACAATTTCATAGTTAGCATCAGTTATCTCCTTTTATTTTTAGACTTTTAGATTTTTTTAAAGCCAAAACACCATAAAAAAGAAACAATATTTTCCATTCCTGCATCTAGTATCTCTACCCAAAACAAATTATAAAAACAATAAAAATTACTGGCACACTGAGGATCAAACTGAATTTTTTTTTAAAAAAGTTACAAAACTGTTGGTACAAACCCAACTCAAAAATTGAATTGCAATTTCAGGTAATTAAACTGTGCAATAAATGTAACTGTTGTCATATGAAAACAGAGTTTAGTAGAATATTTTACTAGCTTCCATAAATTATCCTTACTCTACTCTTTTAAAGTGGTATGTTATAAAATTTAACACTGAAAAACAAGAATACAGAATCAATGACAATGTAATGGAAAAGAGCATCAGTGCCATAAATTCTGTAATATATAGATACTACCTAAGATTTATGATAATAATAGAATATTATGAAACCAACTATATAAAATGCAGCAACAAATAAATATTCAAAATGTTAAAAATCAACATAGACCCTTTACCTCTGCATTTACAATTCTACATTGTAGGTCTTCCAGATTGTAGTGCTGGTGACTCATCATAATTAAATTAACTTCTCTATATAGTTTTTGTGTATCCTTATTTTTAGAATTTACTAAAACAAAATGATTTTCAGTAGAACAGAACTGGCATTTATTGTGAATGGATCATTTCAGCAAATGCTTAGAAATGTATGTTAGCCATTAGGAGATTTTGGGGTGGAGGGGAATGTTTGTAAGTCACTGGCAACATATTGTCTATTTCTAACTTTTGATTTTACATTTAAATTCACTTCACTGATAAATGGAAAGTAGGAAATGTTTACATATTTGTGGGGTTTC